TGTCAAGATCAACTTCTTCTAATTGCGGTCATAAAAAGTTGGTTGTCATCGATCTATACCGTTCACCACAGACAGTAACGATAATGGTTGTTCATGAATAATTTGTGGATTTTCTTCGCACCAATTCGAAAGTTTTGTTTATTTAATCCACCACACAGCCTCTTCGGAGATGAATTTCTTAAAAAAAAAATCGTTATCGTTTTCAAGTTATTCCAAGGCAAGGTCCAATGACTTCAGTTCTTGAGTGAGAACAATTTTTTTCGGTTGCAAGCTCAAATCCTTTTTCAAAATACGCCAGCTTGTGGTTTGAAACAGTCCCAATTCTTGACGCCGTCTTGGAATGGACAAATTGCGGTCTACAGTAACACTTATCTGAACGGCAGCAATATTTTCATTACTTGAGCACAGGTGGAGAATTATTACGACCATAAAATGACAAAAGCCCACGAAAAGTTCTAATTGGAGAGTGATTATTTTGATAATAAAATTGTATAATTTGTAAACCTTGTTCTTGTGTATATCTTTCCATGATGAAATTGTAAACATTACTAAATACAATGAAAAAGATGACAGATTTTGACATAATAAAAATGACCGAAACAACTCTTAGAAATCATATCATCCCCATTGAAAAACCCGATATAATACCTATGTATGGTAGTACATGCCAACTGAATTTTGGAAAATATGAAGCTAAATATGTGAAACCATAATAAACCAGCAATAATAATAAAATTGTTTATTAGCAGTTACACAGGTTGCCACAAGTATTCGAGTGCTTGTGAAAATCTCTAACCAAATCCAAATGTATGAGTATGTACCTTTGCATTTATGGTAGATAACTTTAACAAGACCTCTTCGTTGTAATTTCAACAAAGACATGCTACTGACACAAGCTTACATATTACACAATAACAACTAGAGGCTTTGAAAAAATATAATAATTAAGCAGAGCTGAAGGTGAGAGATGCATAGTGTGTGCGAAAAGTCTGTAATCTAACAATGCGGTTGTGATGACAAAATTGACATGTCCATTTTCAGCTTCTGCTACGTTGGCCAGCTGCTTAACTGTACACACTCACACATGTCTAAGTACAACTATTTAACAGTTTATTGTTCCATAATGTTTACAATGATAGTCCATGTTGTGGTCATATTACAATTACGATAAAGTTCAGGTGCTGACAATTTCGTAATATAATTTTGGTCTAATAAATCTTTTTAAAACCAAGAGCCAACTAAGTGACTTCAAACACACTTATGTAAGCACGTTGCTAATTTTACAAGCCAGTAGGTCGTGAAAATGTGAGCTCAACATGTTGGCAGTAGCCTCAAATATTGCATAACTTGAGGCGTTGTGGCTAACGTTAAGCCTGTTTAATATGACAATGTAGTTGAGTTGAGAACGAGCACTTAGTTGCAAATCTACTGCAGCCAATCTTATGTGTTTTTGTGGTTTGAAGATGTGCAAGGTAAACATTTATGCATAGGTAGGTAGTGTTATTGGAATCACCTCTTCGAGTATATTTCTGATATTAAAAAGCCGCTCATATATGTACATTAGAGTGGAGCGGAAAACAATTTTTTTTTTTTGCTTAGCCTGGGGATAAAATCTGTAGATTATAAAAAAATAAAATTTTTGGAAAAAATAAATAATTTTTTCTCCACCTAAGTTTTAAAGTAAGTGTCATGGTAAATTTTGGACAACCACCTAAGTTTTAAAGTAAGTGTCATGGTAAATTTTGGACAAAAAAAAAAATAATAATAATTTTTGGTTTAAACTCTTCACTTTTATATAAAATATACCGAATTTGACGGTTTTTGACTCAAAATTTATTTTAACGCTTAAGGAAAGCATGTGGTCATTTAAGACTTTTTTTAAAACTCCAATAATGACCAATCACAATGGGCCTCCTAAAGGCCTAAGTGTGTCGAATGACAGCCACTTTACCTACCTACCAATAATGACCACAAAAAAAAATTATTAATTGGCCAGAAAGTGGACTCTCCACAGCTTCTAGAACACTTATCAAATTTTAACTCGAAAATTTACTTTAAAACTGAGGTGTTAAAAAAAATTATTTAAAATCTACTGATTTTACCCCCAGGCTAAGCAAAAAAAAAAAATTTTTTTCGCTCCACCCTAATATATATCAGTCATTCAAAGTAATGGAATAAGAAAATGGCAATCTTTCCTTATCATAAATATACTTAGAAGCTGAATACTGGCTCGATCAGTTGTGTGCCAGCTATTATAACATTGTCTTGGACAATATCTATGCCAAAGGTCGTGAAAATATCTCGTCCTAGTAGGGACTTCTTCATTTCTATACTGAAAAGTGAAATAACCAGATTGAATTTAAAATTGGGTTATGTGGGACGTAGGCGTGGCTGTTGTCCGATTTCGCCCACTTTCACAATGTAACATAAGGATATTGAAATAAATTTTGATATTGTAATAGTAGTTCCTGAGATATAAAATTCATCTAAAAGTGGGCGGTGCCACGATTTTCACCATGCATCGTACACAACCGTTTCAGACTATATTGGGTGTGAAATTTAATACTCCCTTAAGACAGACAGTCGCTCTGAATTCAACTCATCTCGTTATGGTGATCATTAATATATCTTGTCTCGCAATCCTGATCATTTATATATACATAACTCCATATCTAACTCGATTAGTTTTAGGTGGTACAAACAACGGTTAGATGAACAAAACTATGAAGCAACATGTTGCAAGAGTATGAAAATTATAGAACTAATTGTTATTGTACAATATTACTATCAAATTTAAGGTATCGGCGTCAGAGTATGGTCCGACACGATTTCATCTATTTATAACAATAAACGTAAATACATACAAGAAAATACTACCAATCAATTTCATTAAGGTAATCTATTCCTCATATAATTATAATATTTATACCCCCTATCGCTATTCATATTTGTAGAAACGTTAAGGAAGTATTTGAAATTAAATTTTTCAGTCATAGATTATTTAAAATGGAGTATCCTGATATCATAAACAATATAAATAGATATGCGGTATCGGTTTTATAGCTCCCGAAGATCTTGCTTAGTCCAAACTCACAAATTATTATTTCATAAACTTTTATAAAAATAAAAAAAAACTATAGTAATACTATTTTGTGCTACTATTTTTAGTTTTGGAAATAACAAATATTACGAAATTAAGTTTTATATTATTCACCCAAACTTTTATTGAAAGGAAAATGAGCAACAACAAAGCCACTATTGGACCACCGACAACAGGAAACATTAAATGTTTTCGAACTACACACACCTACATACACATATGCATATATGTACATGTACGAGTATGTATGCAAGCACATAAATATTTCTTACCACAAATCAAGCAGCGTAAGGACGCTTGTGGACGTGTGTGTTAAATAAGCAAAAAACCATATCCAAATATATTTCCGCCTTGCGTTGGGCTTCGTTTTTTAATAACATCCTGCGCTTTCTCACTCGCATGCCCTGAATATGTGTGCGTTCGTTAGGGATTTTCTCAAATTTAACCGAAACCTTCCCAAGATCCGGGCTTTTCTTTTTAAGGCTCAACGCAGAAGTACAATGAAATTAAAACCCATACACATATTCAACTAGCAGACCAACAACAAAACATGGTACGCACGGATGCCTATGCAGCCCAACAAAGTTTCGTGTGACACCCAAAAAGTTGTGTAAGGAATTTGATACTTTTCCACGCACAAAGAGAAGGATCACTGGAATTACTTATGTTGTTTGGTGGTGTAGTTTATTGGGTTTTCCTTAACCGATGGGCATTGAATGCTTTGGTGTGCGATAATTGCTTTCATATTTATGTGCTCCTTGAGAAAAAGGCAACAGCAATCCTTTAGTATTATACACAATGTCAACATCATAAATACACACATATGAATATAGTGTGTGTATATCCAAAAATGTATCTTCCTAGACTCGCAAAGTAGCCTAAATTTAATGTTTGAATAGGTGTACTGTTCTTTGATATTTCCCTAGAAGCTAAATATTTTACAAGTTTTAGTTCTAGCCTACTAATCCTGCTATATTTAAGCTGTTGCATATTTTGCGACTAGTCCTACAGAAAGTATTGCCGTTTTCTTCATAATCGGGCCTTAATTAGTCTTAAAGAGCACACCTATCTCAAATAGTTTTTGAGTTACATGCTTCTAGAGTGTAGCCGCTCAGTTCCATCAGCTTTCTCTGTTTATCTTTAAACGCGAGACAAATGATCCGGTCACTATAAAAATGTTTCAGTATGTTCTGTATATAGTTCTCTATACAATAACTTGCCAGTTTTTTGATCTAATCAAAAATTGAATCTTGGTAGGCCAAAAACGACTAAAATGTTGGGTTAAATTCAAGTTTTTCTTTCAAAAGCTGAAAGTGGAACGGGGGCGAAGAAGGTTCAGATCTGCCTGAACCCAGCACTCCGTGCGATAACAGGATGAGTCTCGATGTTACCAATCGTACACCTACATAAGTATGTACATAGTGAGGCCTGCATGGTTTTGGTTAAGGAAAATTTCGTGCTAATGCAACTCACATCTGCTTGAAGCGGAGTCGCCTCTTAGAAGCATCAAGAGATCATTCCTTGATTACGTCGAATGTACGTCGTCCACAGTAGTTCCTTTAACTTGTTTACCGACTCCCTCCCAGTGAATGTCGTATTTTGAGTCAAAAACAACTCATCCTGCGTGCAATGGATCCACGAAAGGGTATACAAGTAGATAACCACTACAACGACAAAATCACACAACAAATTGATGTCAATTCTCAAATATGCTAGTGGCCAAGAATTCATATCTCCTACTATCGAGGTAACATTTCTGTTTTGTGTTGAACTGTTTTAACAACAATCAATAGCAATTCCCTCTGTTAATTATTGAACATGTGACCAAGTACAAATAGTTTTCAAAAGAAAAGGAAATCAAACATTTTGTTATCATTCTGAACACCCTGTAACAGAAGAAATTTTGGCGCAATTGTGAATGGCTCAGAATGATAATATTGTTTACATCGGAAACATCTGAGGCGCTCTCAAATCAGCTGGTCAACTACCAAGTGCACCAGTCATGTATAATTGGCTATGAACTTAAGGAATGTTAATAAATTTATTAATAATGAAAGCTCAGTGGGTTAGTCGTCAAACAAAAGCATTACAAGCAATCAGTCTACTACGTAACGCAAGATTATTACAACAAAGCACGTTATGTCAAAAGCTGAGCACAGATGCTGGTAACGCCGTTAAGCCGCTAAACCCACGGCAAACATTTCTAGCAAAAGTAGCAGCGGGACCAGGGCTGCAGGAATTTTTCAACGTCAAGCGAGTGCCCACACATACCGACGATGATAAAAAAGAGGAGTTTCAAGTGCCCTACTTAATACCGGAAAACTACAGTGGTCAAGGGCGCAAAGTATTTTTTGAAGTTTACGGTTGTCAAATGAACACCAATGATACCGAAGTGGTATGGGCTGTTCTGCAGCAAAACGGATACCAGCGTTGCCAGGAGGCGCAACTGGCTGATGTTATTATCTTGGTGACCTGCGCTATACGTGATGGTGCCGAACAGAAAATCTGGAATCGCCTAAAACACTTGCATGCCATGAAGGAGCGACGTTCGCCACGTATTGGACCCTTGCAAATTACTGTTTTAGGATGCATGGCTGAACGTCTTAAAGAGCGTTTACTTGAACGGGAGAAATGTGTTGATGTAATTGCTGGACCAGATAGCTACAAAGATCTTCCACGCTTACTGGCGGTGTCGCGACATTATCAACAATCTGCTATTAATGTGCTACTCTCACTGGATGAGACATATGCCGATGTGATGCCAGTACGACTAAATGCCGAATCGCCAACTGCCTTCGTTTCGATAATGCGTGGCTGTGACAATATGTGTTCTTACTGTATTGTTCCGTTTACACGTGGCCGTGAACGTTCACGCCCAATCGAGTCAATAGTACAAGAAGTCCAAGCATTGCGAGATAGTGGCGTTAAAGAAGTCACATTGCTAGGTCAAAATGTCAATAGCTATCGGGATATAAATACAGCTACTGATATTAAAGAGGAATTGGCAAATAACAAAATAGCACCTGGTTTCAGCACGGTATATAAGCCAAAGATTGGAGGAATGCGCTTTGATGAATTACTGCGCCAAGTAGCTGAAGTAGCGCCTGAAATGCGCATACGTTTCACTTCGCCACATCCCAAAGACTTTTCCGAAGACGTGTTACGGGTGATACGTGATTATCCGAATGTTTGTAAAAATTTACATTTGCCTGCACAGTCGGGGAATGATGCTGTATTGGATCGAATGCGACGCGGTTACACAAGAAATGCGTATCTAAAGTTGGTTGACACAATTCGAACTATCCTGCCAAATGTTGGTCTCTCCAGCGATTTTATTTGTGGGTTTTGTGGAGAGACTGAGGATGAATTCAAAGATACATTAACCCTTATGAAACTAGTCCGCTATAATGTAGCTTTCCTATTCGCATATAGCATGCGTGAACGGACGACTGCACATCGACGTTACAAAGACGATGTTCCAGCTGCCGTTAAAATAGAGCGATTACAACGAATGGTTCAGGTGTTTCGTGAAGAAGCTACCAATTTGCACAAACTTTTCGTTGGGCGTGAGGAGCTGATACTTATAGAGGGGAAAAGCAAGAGATCAAACGAATGCTGGTTCGGGCGAAATAATGCTAACATCAAAGTCATTGTACCAAGCATGATGCTTACCGACGATACAGGAGTCAAAAGAGAAATTACCATAGGAGATTTTGTTGTAACTAAGATCAACGAATCTAATTCTCAGGTGCTTAAAGGCAGACCACTCTACATTAGCTCAATCGGACAGTTTGATTCAAAGAGCTCTTAATATAAATAAAAATTTAATCTGTTAAATAGTTTTAAATTTACCTTTTTTAATTTGTGTTAGTTATTCTATAAATCCATTTGTTCTGATTTCAATACTGGCTCGGCTTCTGTATTGCGTTTTTTACTATCAGCGGTAAGCAATGATTTATTATGGAAATTCGAAATAATTCGCCGGTAAAAATTAAATATTATCTGACTTGCTGCACGACTCATGCATTCTGCATCATTAAATTGAGCCATACGAAAACGACCACTTGTGTGAACTGTTACTAAATTCTTATCCAAACTATCGAAAACAAATACAAAACTAGCTCGTTTCCCTATCGCTTCACAATGGTCAGGGTCGAGTACTACATTGTCATCTTTGTTCACTATGCAATTTACCGCAGCGATAGTGAACTTCATCGGCACACCACCAATCAGCAAAGCCAAGCAAGCACCGTTTATTGCACAAGCTTCAATCTAGAATTTAATATATGTAATAATAAATTTAGTTATTGACCAATTTTCTTACACCACATCGATCATCCAATTCCTGTATTTGTATAGAAATAGTTGTCCGTGGATGAAGCATAGTAAGTAAAGCTGACTCACATGTATCACGTATAACGTTCTCTCTTAATTTATCTTCAATCGTTGGGATGCCTGCTTTGGGACGATAAATGCACTCCACATGCGCCTTTTCTATATTAAGGTTCTGAGATTTTACTTCCACTGGACCAAGCATTGAAGTAAGTACACAGGTCCCTCCTTCATTAACGGTATTTTAAATAAAAAAATGTAATTAATTAAGTTATATGACACACAAACCTTGCGTGAACAAAGCGGAACCATCAGAACGCGTGAGTGGATTTAGTTCACAATTTATTGGACGCAACTTCAGATCATGTGGCAAACCATTACTTCCTTGTGGGTCCATGGTTATAGTTTCTGTGGTTGTAACCATTTCCTTATTTATTCACAAAATAAACTTTTATTTAAACTTAAAATTGTAAAGTTAACAAATATGTAAATATCTTTAGCGATACAGCACGAGCCATGTGCTTCTTCATTCTTTCTTGATCGATCAAAATCATTGCTTATACCAAATTTATCTGATATCGTCTGGGAATAAATAAAATAAAATAAAATATTATATATAAATATAAATGTATATATTTATATAAATATAAAAGTATCTATTTTACATTCCACATGTAAATGCACCAGTTTCTACAACACACGGCTCTATTGTAACGTACACTATGAATGATTATTATTGTTTATTGGGGCATATGAAAGCAACTTTATCATTTATCGGCTGCCATTAAAACTAAATCAAATTTAATATGTGTCGTAAGTAAATATAAATGTATATATTTTACATTCCTCATATAGATGCACCAGTTTGATTCTATTGCATCGAAAAGGACTCGGATTTCTACCCATCTTATGAATGACTACTCGGTAGTCTTTCTCCAAATTATTTAAGTATTTTTCTGTCGTTATAACAACAGAAAACATAAATTATGTATATTCTACGACAAAATCAGTGAAAAGTTATTATTATAATAATATATAAATATACAAATATATATTATTATATTAGAATGTAGTATACCATATTTTTTGATGAAGTAGTGCACCAAATTCTTTGAATACCATTTATTCAAAGTCACCATGAATGGTCTTGAGGAAAGAAGAAGAAATTGCGAATTAATTTGTAAACCCATTTACTATTTGTTTATGATCGAATGTTGATTAAAAATTAAGTGAACTCAAAATGCTATCTGCACAACAGATTATTTAGTTTTGTTGTAATATTTAGTGTCAATTAAAGTGTTTTTGGCAAGAAAATGACAGATCCTTGGCTAGTTCAAAACTCAGGCCAACAGAATAATTCGGTTGAGAACAGTACAACGGAAAACGGTGTGCATCAGCAGCTAGGTGAGGAAAAGCTTGAACAAGCGCCTTTGGAATTTGAGGATAACTTCGCACCTACTCCTAGCGACAAACCGTCGACATCAACAACGATTGACGGTAGCAATAGCCCTGCACATTGTCTTGAACCTTTGCCCGATTCTGACAATTACTTACGTGGACTCGGTATGTTAAAACAATAAAAAAAAGCCAGCGGTATTTTTAACGTAAAATTTTTAATCGAATTTTTTAATTGTTTTTTATTTGTTTTGTTTTTATTGTATGTTCATTATAGAGAAGAAATTGCAGAAAATCAAAAAAGGTGCTAATTTAGTGGAAGCGCTATCTGAGAAACGTAACGACTGTCTTCGTCAACTACTGAATAGTGGTGACGCCGATAACAACAATGAAGTGTTAGCTTTGGATCAACCTTTGAACAACATTGAATTCTATAGACATCTTCAACCAGTGCAGGCTTTATCTGTTGGTGAACTGGTCCATATTGTCAAACACGATCAGTTACAACAGGATCAAGCGCCAAATACCTCCGACCAGCACCAAGAATTGGATGAAGAGGACAAAAAAGAAATAAAATAGTATTAGAAAGTAAATTAAAAATGAACACTCCATTCGGCGAAGTTTTTCTTTTTCTAACCGATTTGGCTTGGAAAAGTCGCGTAACTATACCGATGCTTGTGACAACAGTCTTTCTCATTATGGATATCCGTTTGCAAATAGAAATAAATATACAAACCGGGCAGGTGATACACCAATTAAATTTTTGAAATATAATTTAGTATCTTCAAATGCATTTTCAGGCGGCTGCGGATATAGATGATCTTGATGATGACTATGATGATGATGATGATGACGACGATGACGATTCAGATGATTATATTAGTGATGGCTCGAGTGATGAAGATGAGAATGCAAATATGTTTATGGGATTTGCACATGAGCACAATCAGGATAATAATAGCACTGCTAATCGCTGGAGACGTTCCTTAGGCTTGAGTTAGTTTTTGTTTATGTAATAAATGTGTAAAATTTACTATATTTATCAATATTAGATTTCATTATATGGAAAAATATTAACACCTTTACCTATTATCTTCATAAATATATTATTAAATAATACACTTATAAATTAAAATTTTTTACATTTATGTTGCTTAAACTCCACAATTATTATAACTAATAAAATTTAAATAATCAAAATTATACGAAATGTAATTTTGCACTCATCATTATTATTTTTCTTTTTTTTTTAATAAAAAACTGCTATAATTACATATAAAGCTTAATCAATTCGTCACTAACAGCCGATGGAGTAAGAATACCCAGATCAGTAAACAGCAATGTTATATAAGCTGGTGGTGTGTAATCTACTTGAGGATGCACTTTAGATACATCTACCAAATGCTTACGGGAATACTGAAAAATTGATAAATAAAATAGTTACAAGGCTAATATTTTTTGTATATGTATATACCTTATATTCGTCGGGTAAATCGCGTTGGTTTAGTGGATAAAGTCGTGTGAATTTGAAGCTTTCCGCCAAAACATAAAAAGGCTTCTTCATCTCACGCGCGCACAGGCCCATGGTAAAAGTACCGATTCGATTTATTATGCCGCCGCTTTCAACTACAGCTTCTGCACCAACCATAACAAAATCCACCGATTCCATTACGTATCCTGTTGCCGAATCCAAAATTAATGTGCTGCTTATTCCAGCTTTCTCCAGATCTGACACCATTTGAGCCCTGAAAAAAAGTAATCGATATTAACTAGTATCTTTTTCACAGAATATAATACTTACCCTGAATTATCTGGGCCACCTTGTGTCACATAGACGTGAAATTCTTTGTTTTTTGCTGCACTTATGAGCGCCTTTAGCACAACACGCGAACGCGAATGGGTCAACACCCGGCAGCCATCGGTGACAAATTTCTTGGCCTGTTGGGCGATTACATTGCGCGAGTTTAAGAGCTTTGCAAGAAAGATCTTGCCACGGTGCAACATAATTTGTCGACATTCTTCCATGTGCTTATCATCCAAACTAAGTGTAATGAAACGACAAAATAGCTCACCTCCAGACACCACAGCTGCTATGGATAAATCTGTGTTGCGCATTACTGCCACTGCATCCCGCATTGTGGTGTGTAAAATATGAATGGTATCAACTGAAAAAATATATATTTATATTTCTATTATTTGTAAAATATGAACTAAATACTTACATTGTTTTTTCTCGAGTATCATTAGCAGAGTTTTGATTGCGGCTATTCCGGAGGATAGGTCTCTATCCTGCTCCAACAGTTTAAGAAAATAATTGCGCACGTCCGCTATATTTATTAAAGTATATTGCTGTATATGTTCAGATAAGTTATTATTTATAGGCTTACCTGCATCATCGATTTTTTGATCATCGGTTAATGGCATTTTTTAACTAAATTTCAAAGTAATAGACACAAAATAAGAATGTAAACCTTATGTTAAATTTCACACAATTTTTTTGACGTTGCGAATAGATATCGTAATTTCGTAAAATGAAACTACTCATTGTTGTAAGAATATCGATAACTGCTTAGTGCAATAAGTTTTTGTACGCTACGTACTGAGAACTTGGAGATTATAATTATTTTGACCTTAGCATATAGAAGAATTATTATAAAGAGCATTATCAGAAAATTTGTTAAAATGCTAATATAAATACAACTTTTTATTTTGGATATACGAAATAAAAAATAAATGGATGATTGAAATTTAAGAAATAATTTTTAAAAAATTTAAGATATAATTTTAAAAAAATTTAACATTCTGGATCCTTCGGACCTTATATATACCCCAAAGGAATGTTGTAATAAACCATTTTTTTATTTTTGTCGTTCAAGACTAATCACACTATTTGACGTGATTACGTATATCGAAAGATCAAAGAATTGCACACAAAGAAAACAAGGCAAATGTCAAACCTAAAGGTAAATAAATTATCAATATACATATGTTTTTTATTTGTTCTTATATTATAGTTTATTTTTATTTTAATAGGCGAAAATGGAGCGAACAACTATTGATAGTTATATATATGGAACAAGTACACATTCTCCAGTAAAGTCCGAACAATCGAAAAACGCTAAACTAGATTCATCTGATGTATATATTGAAAGCAATAAAATTTTTCCTTCTTCAAAATGGGTAAAATTGAATGTTGGAGGAAAGGTGTATGTAACTACATTGTGTACGTTAGTTAGTAAGGAGCCGGATAGTATGTTGGCACGTATGTTCTCTCAGGATGGGATGTTACCTAGTGAACAAGATGAACAAGGTGCCTATCTCATTGATCGTAGCCCTCACTACTTTGAACCAATTATCAACTACTTGCGGCATGGGCAACTTATTGTGGACGCTAACGTGAGTCTAGAGGGTGTTTTGGAGGAAGCTAGATTCTTCGGTATATACTCCCTTATTACTCAGTTAGAGCCACAACTTCTACAAATTAATAGATCAATAGACGATATACCACTCACTCGACGGGACGTTATTAAAGCTTTGATACAAACTCCGCATGCTAGTGAGTTACGTTTTCAAGGTGTAAATCTTGCTGGTGCTGACTTGCGTAAGCTTGATTTTCGCAACATAAATTTTAAGGTGAGTAACGTATTTATTGTTACTTTTAAATAAACGTTGCTTATATTGGTATATTTGATCAATAACATATGTATACTTTCAGTATGCTTGCATGCAAAGGTGTAATTTATCGCATGCCAATTTGACATATTGCTGCTTGGAGCGAACGGACTTAGCCTATGCAAACTTGGAATGCTCACAGCTGGTGTCAGTTAAGGGTTTGTGTGCCAATTTGGAAGGTGCCAACTTGCGTGGTTGTAATTTTGAAGATCCGACCGGTGTACGTACTAATCTAGAAGGGGTTAATTTAAAAGGTGCATGCCTGGAAAGTAGTAATATGGCAGGAATAAATTTGCGAGTAGCCAATTTAAAAGATGCCAACATGAAGAACTGTAATTTGCGGTCTGCAGTACTCGCCGGAGCAGATTTGGAACGTTGTAACTTGTCTGGTAGTGATTTGCAAGAGGCCAACCTACGAGGTGCTAATTTAAAAGACGCCGAATTGACTCTCATGGTTACGCCACTACATATGGCACAGGCCATTCGATGAGGGGTAGCTACATTGAATGTTAAAATTCCCTACCTTAAATTTCCTGTGATTTAAAACTCTATCGATTTCCTGCTTGTGCTTAATTCTTGGTTTTAAGAGAGAAACGTACATACACCTCTACGTATTTATTGCGGTTAAGTTAAGGGTCGTAACAGTGATAGTCTATAATAATATAGAAAATAAGACTTTCCAATTTTAATCTAGGCTGCGTTTTTCATATGTAAAAACGTATTTATATAAATAAATGAGTAGATCGCAGTTAATAAGAAGTTTGCATACTATCATGTAGACTGATATGCAAGTAAAAGTCATAAACATTTGTAATTATTCTTATTTGATTATATAAATAATTGACTTTGAGACAGAGACTTTTTATAATGTTGTTTATGTTTAAAGTTGAACAAAATACTATAAAATAATTTAAAATAAAATGGTGCCGTACACTATCAAGCGATGAAGCTCACATAATTTCACCATTTTAAATTATTTACTTTTGACCAACCCTATAGTATAAAATGGTATGAATTGGCTGCACTTTGTTTATAATTTAGCGCTTTCCTTCAAACGCATGGTATTAGGAACTCTACGGTTTCATAGTTATCGTGCTTTCGCATTCGCACTTGTGTTGATTTTACTTTATTGAGGGGAGATTCTATCAAGAACTCTCCCGTTTGGTATTTGGAAAAAAAATTGGTGAAAATCGCCACAGTTTCGTTCCAGCTCTGCATCGCACAGACAAGAAATTCTATTTCTGCAGCTGACGTGATATCTCTGTCAACCCCCCCCAAAAACAAATTTTCTCTCGTTGAAAAGAAGAAAGTAAAGCAGCCAAAAAGTCGCACGAGCAGATTTTGTGCTAACAATTTTCGCGTTCATAATATTTTGGCGAAATTAAATTGTCGACATAGTTGAATTTTTCCAACGTCATAGTCAAAAAATTGGAAGAAGAAAATCCAAAGCAGCAGCAACTAGCTTCCTCTGAAGAATACAGCAGCGTAAAAGGGACGTAGGTAGAAAACTATCGTACAGGTACGAGTACAGTGCCCTTAGTACCGCTGGTGGGAAGAGCACAACAACAAAATAATATCGAACGGAACGAGTGCCGCTACGTACGATAGGAAAGAGGCGAAAAAACGTGGTTTTTTGGTTCGATAGCAGCCCAGCAGAAAATTGTCAAATTATTGTAAAAGAAAAATTATTGAGTGAATTACGCGCTCTATAGTGTCACTAGTGAAGAAAAATAAAAGGTGTAATTTTCGCGAAACCGCAAAAAAAAATGGAAAACCAAAACAATAGCGCTGTTTCAGATGCAGCTAACGCTGCGGAAAATGGTTCTAACGCTACTCAGGAAGTGTCTTCTACAAGTAAGTAATTGTAATTGAATATTTATTAAATTTTTTTTGTTTGAACTGCTTGCTAAGCATAATATTAACAATTATGATAAATAATTTGATAATCGTACATCGCGTTTTATTGCGAAATTATATTGTATTGTTGCTTATACGGTTAATCGCATTTACATCTGTCGAAAAAATATTACGCGGTTAATTTTGATTCTTGCAATCTATTTAGAAAAAGCTGCTTAAATCGGGTTAGGTTCTCGTTAAGAGTCTCATAAAAAATAGCTTTAAATTACAGCATTTATCTTTCTAGAAAATTATCTTTTTCTTTTCCAACTACTTTGAAACAAATGTACCAATGTATACTATGTTAAAAAGTTGTTTCAAAATTTAAAGTTCATAAAAACATTGAATGCAGTACTTTGTGTAAATGTTTCCATGATTTTGCACATAACATATACTTTTAACCGCGAAATTTAAGTGTTTTTAAATACCAACAGTCCTACATTACTTCTTTTTCCCAAGACTTTCAAAATTTGTTCAAGTACTTTGTTTCTATGTACAAAAAGAGTAAACTCCTTTTTTTCATATACGTTTTAGCACCTTTTCGTATATCATCATCACTGTCCATATGTAATCTTTCACGCGATCGCCGAGTTTCAAAATAGGCAAAAACAAAAACATGAAAAATATAGCATTGAGATTTCTATCAATATACATACACCGTTCTTTATGAATCATATTTGATTGCTTGAATTTTCAAGGGGCGAGTGTTAGAAAGCTTTGTGGATTTACCGTCATTTTGTTGTCCATTTCTCTAGTAATTTAGTTACGGTTCCTTAACGCTATCTATGTACATACAAGAATGTGCACATGTAAATGCTTCAATTAAACAAATACCGTAACTTGGTAGAGGTCATGTTTTCTTTATGTAGTAAATGTTTTTGTAATTTTTGTGTATGGATAAACATTATTTATGTTCCGAATTGCTTAAGTTTGAACGATTAACTCTCCGCTAGAACCACTGTGTATAGTACAGGTCAGTCATAATTTGGATAGCACTTAGTATGAATTGTTGATGATTCGTATGATTTGCTCATCGTTAATGAATGCCAACAACATTGCGCCGTTTTTTCATTTTCTTTTTCGCTAGCTGTCATTAACAATTTCAAATAGAAATGAGCACGCGCATATATATGCGTATATTGCTAAAGCTATGTATACATATATGTATATATATGGTCTCATTTAAAAATTACATATTTATTAATTTTCCTTTTTTGATCAATTTTCGTTGATTTGTTAGAATTGCAGGGAATGTTTGATGAAATACTGTTTCTTGGGCGTAACATATATAAGCAATAAACCATACGTATTAGCACTTTTGGCATTATGTAGAGTTCACAAAAAGTAAACCCTCCGTATATATTTTTTATTTTTAACTGCGACTATTTTTGCTACAAGTAACATTAATGCAAAATGGTTAATGATTTTCACTTTAGGCACGATTAACAATAATTAATTATTTTTTTTTAGTTTCCTACAATAAATGGTTAATATGGTATATGGTATATAAACTTGTTTGTGTTAAGTGGGTTTATGAAAATGAAGGTGAGGCTAAGAAGATGCGAACAAGATTAGTCAAGCTCGCCGCGTTCACCATTGTGATGACATAGTTTATATTACATTCGTTATAAATACGTTTTGCATTGAAATTCTTTCGAATGTTATTTATTATAATATATTTTGTAATAATGCTCCTATTCAAGTATTACTTTACTAGTATGTATGGAGTCTTATTTAATATTATTATACTTTTTTAGCTAATGTAACCGCTGAGCCAACTAAACGGTCACTACGTGTTCAAACCTGGAAGAAAATTCAGGATAACAAGTGCGGCGTCGGTTTCAATGCTATTTTCAATCGCATACCTGGTTTTGTGGATAGCGACAAAGCTGCCAAACTTCTCTCAGAAACCGAAGAGTTCAAGAAAGCGGGTAAGTAAAATATAACGAACATTTATTGACCTATATGTATTAACAATTAATTTATTCCAAATACATCTATATAGAAAACATCAAGGTTAACATCGATCGCGCTTTGCATTCGGTTAAATTGGAAACTCTGCTAGCTGGAAAAAATTTGTATTTACCAGGAACGCGTGACTCTAAAGCTATATATTTAAAAGTTGACGTACCTGCTGACGCCACAGATGACCAGAAGAAGGAAATTTTAAATGTACAAGATGTCCAGCAACATCGCACTGAAATAAGTAAGTTACATACGGTTTGAATAATCAATGTCACCATGACATCATTTCCCAATAGTGTTTTACATCAACACCACTCGTTTTCTTTTACAGCTTTAGATAGCAAAGTTAAGTTGGATATGGTAGTCATTGGTTCGGTGGTAGTATCACGAGATGGTTACCGCATTGGGCGCGGTAACGGTTTTGCCGATCAAGATATTGGGTTACTTACCGAAATTGGTTCAATTACACCCGACACAGTTATCGCTACGATGGTACATGACCTGCAGGTATGACAAAGCAAAACCAAAAGAAACATATATATTTGTATGTAAGCATACATAGAACTAAGGAAATATAAATATTCAGACATTAATGACCTCAAGTTCATCGCTACAATAGTAGTCGTCGCTACTTAAGTGATAAGCTATGCGTGCAAGCGCTCTGTGCATTTGCATCAAATATTTCCAGTGATTTTTAATATATTACAAACATTTGCTTCTAGGTTGTTGATAGCCTGCCAAATGAGCTATTTCAAAAATACGATACTCCTGTTGACTTAATTATAACACCCACAGAGGTTATACATGTCAGCAAACGGTTGCCACGTCCGACTGGCATATTCTGGGAATTGCTTTCGGAGCGTCGTCTTAAGATTGTACCTGTCCTTCAGGTGCTTAAGGAAAGCGAAGAGAATGCCGGTAAAGTAATTGTGCTGAAAGAAGTGGATACCGATATTGAACAAAATCAGAATGGACGCAGTCGTCGCCGTGGTCGTCGGCGCTACGGACGTCGCAACCAACGTGGCGCTAATTCTCAAATCGACACTGAACAACAAGGTGTAAGTACAAAACTATCAGCTACTTTGCATAGGAAATTATTTAATTTTTCATAATGAAATTAAAAAGCTGCTCATTTGTCGGAACCGCTGATATCCGACTACTATAGGATATAGTTGCCATACAAAGTAATCAGTCAAAATTAAGTCTTTGTATGGAAAACGTTTTGATTTGACAAGATATCTTCACGAAATTTGGCATATATTGTTATCTCGGAAGATATTATTCAGACCAGGCCACTAAAGCATAAACATAGCTGCCATAAAATCTGACCGATCAATTTTAAGATAAGATATTGTTATAATCTTTTTTTGCTATGCACCTGTGAAAGGTATTATAGTTTCGATGCAGCCGAACTTAACGTTTTTCTTGGTTTTAATAACACAAATATACAGCCATGTAATAATATTATTATTATTTTTATATTCTTTTAGGCGGAAGGCGATCAATCAGGCGTTGTGCAATCACAACAGACAAAACCCGTCACGGTCAATGTAGAGTTGCTCAAGTTTGATGAGAAGAAAGCTGCGGGTGGAAACGGTGCTACAGAAAATGGTGACGTTGCTGCAGGCGGTGATGCTGGCGCTGCTCGCATCGAGTCCGTCGATACTACCACCGTATAGTATGAGCTACGTGCTGTTTTGAAACGGCTGTACTTTTGGTTGGGACATTTGGAATCGTGCGTTCAACGAGAGAAAATTGTTTAACATTCATTTACTCCTCCGTCAACACCCGCCCCTACATATACATACATACATATATTTGCCTTCCCCGTTCAGTAACATATTATGCAACTACGCACGTTTCTTATTTTTTTCGAATGTCAGCTTAGTTTTTTTGTTTTTTTTTCTTTAATATTTCAAAATATTTTAACAAATTAACACATAAAACAAGTAAAGATTTTTGTTCTTTGCCAATGCGGGGTATTATGATAGCCAAGTTCTGAGCAAAATATTTGTTTGATTTTTTTACCATCCCCGCCGTTTTAATTTCGATTGTAATATATTATATTAATTTGTTTAATTTCTTGTATTGCGTAGATAAAAAATACTCTTAACAATTATTAGTTTGCGCGCACTTTTTAACTTATTTGTAAACTGAATTTACGAAGATAACTAGTAAATATAAAAAATAAAAAATAAAAAGAAAAAAAAACAAGTAAAAATACATAAAAACGAAAAATAAGGGAATATATACATATATATTTAGTTATATATAAAGAACTAAAAACGAAATTAAGGGGAATTAATTCTCAACGTAATTTCCAAATGTCCTGTTCCAATTTGAAACGCGGTTATTTAAATTGCTCTTGCAGCATGAGCCGCATAAAAATGTTTGCGAAACAAGCAACAAACATATATTGTACTAACAATTGAAACATTTAGAAGAAACTTGTGCGTTTATTTTAATTAATTTAAAATATTTTCCCAGTTTCCTCTTAACATATTATAAAACAAGAATACACATTTACTTTCCTTTTTTATACAAGAACATTAAATAAAATATTAAACTTGTGAAACAATGAATTGAAATATATAAACGAAAATGAAACGAAACAAAAATGATCATATTTTTTAAAGGAGTTAACTTTATAGGAAAAACAAGAAAACTCGGTTGTTCAGTTTTCTATACAAGAACTTGATTTTGATTGATCAGTCTGAATGATTGTAACATTGTGTTGGACAATAATCCATGCAAAATCTCATGAAAACATCTTGTCAAATAAAAAGTTTTTCATACTTGAGACTTGAGTGTGATCGATCAGTTTATATGACAACTATATCCTATAGTTGCCCGATCTGAACAATTCTCTTGCTTATTCTATTTTATCCACTAAATGATTATTCAATCTGTGTCAATTGTAGTTACATCATCTTAAGATAGGGTCTATGAACAACCAATCGATCCAAACAGGACTTGATTGCCGACTTCACTCATCTAACATCAGTTCTATTATGGTCGTTTCATGGGTCTTCCGTTGACTTAAACGACAATTAAACCACCACTTCTCCAAACGGAGTTTTTTTGTTTACATTTTCAAGAAATCGGCATGAAAATCCAGAGAGTTAAGAATGTTAAGGAATGTTGCGAAGGAATTTATGATTCATTATTCGACGAAAGGGAGAAATTACATTAATAAACCGCGTAAAGTCTGCCAGAAAGTCGGAAATCATTATGTCAGGTGTATTTGGGTTAGATGATAGTCTGGACTGACTGCGTTAGCTTCTGACATTACTCAAGCACAAGGTAGACGTGATAATCTTTCGATTACTCTCATTTTCAATACCAACCTATCTTGGGTACCAAGTTTCATTACATACTCTCATATGCAACATGTTGCGAGAGTATAAAAACGTAAATTTCGTATTATGTATATTCATCCAATTTTAATTAAATTTTTCGCATCTTCTATTGTCTTAGTAATTTTTAAATTTTAAATTTCCTTTAAAAATTGATGTCACCCTGCGCATCTTGCAAAACAATGTTAATTCAACTTTGTTATTCAACTCAAAACAAATCCCTTACGGAGAGCAACCTTCAGTGCACATGGAATATTTGTCTTACTGACATGTTTGCTGTCATTTATTTATTTATTTAAACGCCAATCGGCAATATACATAGATATAATAAAGAATTCAAGTAATATACAAAAGTAGCTAGGGTATATTAGTGTAATATCTGGAAAATATTCAAATAATTGTAAGTTAATATGTAATTCAGACTTGATTTAGATGTAATTCAGACGAGCAGGTGTCTCTTGGTGTTTTCGGTAAAAGCAGCGTATGTTCCTCCATAGAAATCAATTTCACCTTGAAGTGAATTTACTAATTTAGCTAGTCTATTCTGAGGACCATGGATAACATATTTTTTCTTGGATTTCGATGTTTTTAGTAATCTATTTCGTTAGGATCTCATGAGCATCAGTGATGTTATTGACTAATTTGTAGAAAAAGCAGAGGTCAGCGACAGAATTTACGCTGCACCTTTTCAACTTTATCGATTGTCGTGTTAGTGTAGGGAGTGAAGCCAGGATTCCGAAATACATACAACGTCGTACTGGTTAGCCGCTAATGCTGTTTGAAATGTTGAGAGTTTTGTACGTAGACCTCTGACGTTCTGGTAGCACAGGTGGACGTAAGATACTTTCTTCTTGCTCGTTGAGCGAACGAAAATTTCTTTTAACGATTCTTGGGACACCATGGTCATGTCAATAAGGTCCTCAACCTCAAAGGTTCAGAAGGAAATTAGGTGACGGTTTGTCTCGAAAGATGCGGCGGGCACTAAGACAAGATAGTCGAAAACATTTTATTCAGCGATCCCAATACCATCACTAAGGTGCATAGATTTGATCAAATGAAATCACTTGTGAGAGGTGACAGCCTAAAAAGCTTAAACAATTGCTGTACCATACTTAGCTTAGGAAAAAGTGAAAAAGGTAAAAATAGCTGTTGATTAAGTAGTACAGACATTGGAGTCTCTGCTCTAAGAGTGCGACACGAAATTTCGAATGGTGGGACTCATATTATATCGATTATAGCCATAGATCGTGTTTTGTAAGAACTGCAATTTATTCTAATTATTATATACTTACCTCAATCTTACACATTATTGAAAATTTTATTCCAAATGATAAGACCGTTTAAATTTTATTGACATTGAATATTCAGTTTTCTCATCTGTCTTCAGATTCCGTTATTATTTATTGTTCTTCTTAAACTATAGGTTCCCATATCGAAAAAATAATTATTATTAAGTTAGTGGGGGGCTTAAAATTACATTCTTTGGTTTTGTTTGGTCTACAAGTTAATTGATTTTCAAATCACTGTGAAAGTTACTTAGTTTAAGTATTAAATATTAACACATATATGCTAAATGCTTTTTGAACCGTTAAAAATCTATTTTGCGTTATATATGTATGTACATCCTATATGTATATAGATACATTACAGACGTTGAGAATTAAATTGAAATGCAAAATGCTTCAATAAATTTTAGTATTTTTTTAAATTATTATGCCATTATTTATAATTGAATGTTTATTAAGAATGAATTTCTCAAATGTTTTTTTATTTATAAAAATAGTTTTCAATACACTATAGTTTTTTTTTTTTTTTTTGTAGTATGTGAAATTCTTCGTGTTTTGTTGTTTAAAATGTTTCTCTGTTTAAAATTGAAATCTTAAAGCTGAAGTTTAATTGTTCTTCCCTTATAACCTGAAATTTTAATAACTTTCAATTCCCTTGCAATTAAGGTTGCCAATAATTTATTAAAAAAGTTAGAATAACATTTAAATGAATTTTTTTTTTATTTGTAATATTGTATCTTAATTAAAAATAATTTTTGTAGATACATCTATTATCAAATACCAATAAATTTTATAGTTAAAAAAATATTAATTTTTCTGTTTTTGGCGCATCCATACTTCGTGTACTATTTTGAAAGAGAGCTAATAATAATTAATACTCTAGAGCAGGGATCGGCAAACTTACACAGTGAAACTACATATTTATGTTTTTATCAATTTTTAACTCTGGTTCCGATTTTACAATTAAAAACTAACCGATCAATATCTTACTTAAACTTAACTAACTTAAATATCTTTTAACTCAAATGTTCTTTTTACATTTTTTATAACAAAAAAAAGAATAAAAACTACAAAATGTTTGGTTCTTTTCCGTTTCGAGAGCTGAGTACTCATGAAAACCATTAAATGTTGCTCTGTGCTTCGACTAATATTCGTGTTTCATATATATAAATTTAATTACGTATGTTAATTAAGTCAGCAGTGTTTTTCACCCTTCACGAACAGCATAATTTTGTTTTTATATATTGTGCTTTCAATCGAAGATCTGCACACCACACCATAAAAATCATAACGGTTTAGTAAAATTTCAATGAGTTTCCTATCGATCAGCTGATTTTCTGGGTTTTCTTGGATCTTCAGCCTATTACAGGTTTTAGACGATTTAAGAATACATAATATATTTAACCAAAAAATGCTGATGTTTATTTCATATATTTCTTCCGCCGGATTAATATGATCGATGTATGCTTTACATAATTACGAGACTGCGCAAAGTTTCAACATAAGCCGAGCTTAATTGCATGCATTGTATTCGAGAATGTACATGGATATTGTTGAAATTTAACTCAAACTGCTTCCATTTCAAAAGTAGACTTCCATTTTATACTCATATTTTCAATTACATTTAAATGTTCAATTACTTTATTCGATCAAGTTCATTATTCTACATATAAATATGTTTTCGCATTTATTTCGATTATTCCCTAGTTGATTCGCTGCAACAGCTCATCTACAGCATATTCACTTTTGCGATTGTGTCAGCTTTTCTTGCCGCCACTGGCGTTCGTAACGTAATGGCGTTTGATGTCGATGGTGAAGGTGTACGGTCGATAAATTCAATATTTTCACTGTCCTTTGTGTTAGATGGAAGTTGAATTTTAGTCTGCTGCGACGAAACTATTCCCATAATGGTACTATGATGTTGGCATTTCGTACAAAGCGGTGGCAACGCTGTGGCTCCACTCAGAATGGTTGTACTTGTATTTGGTGTGGAAAGCGTGTTGCTATTTAAATTATTTGTTGTTGTAGTTATGGGCATAGATGAATTGGTTTGCAGGGTTACGGAGTGGCTCCCGGTAACATTTCCATTGGTCGTCGTCATAGACACACCGACAATCTCGTCCTTATCGTCATCACCACTAAAATGCATTGACGTCGGCTTCTCTTGAATTGGTGCTAAACTAGTCACGATTGAATTGGCCATAGCGTGTTCGAGCTCACGTTGCCAATCGTTTTCTTTCTTTTCCATAGCCTTTCGTTTCAGTTCTTTGTACCGATTGTAGACGATAAACTCTTTGATTAGCACGGTTTCGGGATCGCTGTCGCGTTGTGCTGAGCGCTGTTTGGCTAAACGTTTCTTTTTCTTATGTAACGGTCGCGTTTCGACAATCATTTCCTCTAGCTCTAAACAGGGATCACAATTTAGGTGATCCTCCGGTGGCTTGAATGGTGGTTTCGTTTTTTTCTCGAGTATACTTTTGAAGTCCATGTGTCGTAGGAGTGGCGTTTGTTGTATCTCCTGCTGAGAGCTAATACGTGCGCCCGGATGCACGCAGAGTAGCTGTAAAAAAAAACAAAATGGGCTTGTGTATTATTAGTACTTTTAGCATAAATATAATACCTTACTTTCGTCAGCAAATCGATGAAATCATGACTCCAATAACGTGGATAGTGCACCGGTGCGGTTAATACATGTTTTACCTCCGCCAATCCTGTATGCGAATGCACGATAAAGGGTCGCGCATTGGCTCGCATTTCGTAAGCAACTACACCGAGGGACCACCAGTCGACGGAAAAACTGTAACCCGCTGTAAATTCTTATTTTAATTTTTATTCATAAAATAAACCAATGTCCCGTGGTGAGCTTACCTATTTCCTCTAATGCACACATGAAGACCTCTGGCGCCATGTACGGTTTGGTTCCAGACATGCTGCATGCAAGTCCGTCCTTTTGCAGTCTCGTAGCTATGTTAAAATCAGTCAAATGTGCGTGACCTACAATTTGCAAAGAAAACGAGATTAAATTTACTGAGATTATGTTAAGATTTAAGCCAATCATCTACTGAACTGAGTTAACTTAGCCGTTTCACTCGCATCCCGCATAAGACTTTGTGCGACACGATTTAAATAATTAGAACTGATTAGTCTGGGAATTGTTATCACGCTCTATATTTACTTGTTAGTTTTCTCTTTATAGAGATATACCCCACTTGTTCTTTTAGAAATTTCGGGCTTACCGAGCTACATGACATTGAAAAGCCTGACTTAGTGGACTGCCTCATTTTTTAAATTTGAAATGAATTACGCAATCAAATACTCCCCCATCCACCGCATTCGCCAGATTTGCGCCACAGCGACCATTTCCCCTTTCTCAGACGCGCCATGGAATAATACAAGTAAATTTTAACAATCAATCACTCCCCGTATTCGTCTGATATGGCATCGTGCGACTTCTACCTTTTCGGAAAAATGCATTTGCCGATGAAAGAAAAGCGTTATGCAGACGTGGAGGCCATTCAAAAGGCTTGCACCGGCATACTGGCGGCCATACCGGGCAACGAGCTAAAACACTCGTTCGACATGCTTTTGGACCGTGCAAAAAGCTGTATGAAAGCAGAAGGAGGATTTTATTTTGCCGATAAAACCATTTGTTCTGTATTTTTTTTAAAAGTCCTGTTTACTTTGGAACGCACCTTGTACAAATATGGAAATAGATGTCTAATTTGAAGACCTAGAAGTTCCAAACTATCAAACCAGTTGGAACGAAACCAGGTTATTGCTGGAGCAAAACCTTTTCGCAAATAATTAACATATCTTGGCCGGGTTAAAATAAAAATATATATTTTATACAAAAAGCAGTATTTTTTCATTTCGCGCGCAAAAACTTCTGAACCAAACTGTATATTGTACAAGTATGTATACCATATAATATGTTGCTATGTCAACATGACCTATTGGGCATAAGTCGAAATATCGATTTCTATTCAAATGCAATTCGACAGCCAGCTGTATTGTTGTTTGTTTGTTGCTTTATATTACTTGCTTTAGGTAGTTACCAGTAGTGTTGAAAAGTTTTGAAAAGTTAATTTCTATGAGAAAATGAATCTTAATATTTTGTCGTTAGACTAAACATGTGTAAAAAATTCACAACGGGTAGACAATTGATCCGTTATATTTGTTTGTATGTATAGCACATCATTTTGAGTGCAAAAATTGAACTTCACTTGAGAATAGCGTTTATAAAAAAAATCAACTTGGGAAATAACGGAAACCCTAGTACATATATACATACATAAATTGAAGACAATTCGATACACTTACCAGTACCATCCAAAAGAATGTTATCTGGCTTGATATCCCTATTGAAGGTATACAAAATAGAAAATATAAATATTTATTATTTAATCATAACGTCATATTAGTACAGTTATCTTTTATTTATTTTGTATTCATTGCTTATATAATGAAATGGATTTACTTTTACCCACCTATGCACCACCCTTTGCTTCTGCAAGTATTCTAAAGCACTCCCCAACTCACACACTAATAAGGCAACACTTTCTTCGCTAAATTCCACCTGAAAAAGAATTAACACATAAACTGAAAAATATTATGGCGTCAACATGTAAATAAAAAGCTCTCTACATATATATAAAATAATATATATAAAAATGTGTGTATGTGTATATTTATGAATGTACATATGGATATCAAACCATAACTTCGATGTGTTGATGGTGTTCTGTAGCTATATAAATGAGTGTGAATATACTTCAGTGTTCGCTATACATATTTATGTACAAGCATTATAAATATTTGCACTCACCCGATTCTGTAGATGATACCTTAAATCACCACCAGTCAGCAAATCACAAACCATAAATAAATCTTCCTCATCTGTTTTGACCGCAGTAGCAAATGGCAAAAGTGACAAATATACATATTTACATATAGAATACAAGTATATGAGGATATGAGTATACATATATTAGAAAATTATGGTAGAATTGAAAGCTAACCAATGTTTACGGGTATATGATTCATAAGGTATATGCGCTTATAATCAATGTTGAATATACTCGTATTCAAAGTTATGAATAGAACGTGAAGAAATTATGGAAATTTTTTGCATTATAAATAAAGTACATACGAACGAGGGCGAGCCGATATGTACCTAACTTACAAAATAAAACCGAAAATTGTTCCCGGTCGATACGACAGTCTTCGCATTTTAAAAGCAGGTCTGTTTTGACTATTTGTGGGACTCTGGTGTGTACAAGTGGATCCATGTTTCATCGACGATCACGAACTACGCAAAAATCCTTTGGATTGCGCTTAAATAGCGTTACACACGGCTGTTAAATGGTGTCGCAGCTGCGCTTGTTTTGCGGAGAGAACAAATGCGGCAGCCATCGCAATGACCAACACGGTTTTTTAGATGTGTACTCCCTGATTATGGGCTTTGGTCACGCTATTCTCCGTGGTAGTTAATTTTTAAGAAATTTTTAACAGTCGCCATAGAAGAATAAGAGTTTCCGTAAACAGCATTTAAACGTTCTTCGATTTCATAGCACGATTTCCCTTTCCAAAACAAAAATCGAATCCCCGACCGATATCGATATATTTCCATTTTTCAAAACTATGAGCACAATTCGGATGAAATTTTAGTAGTAATCGTCGACGGTAGTAAATTTTTCGGACAACCCTCGTACTTATGCATAGAACGAATAGAAATGAAGAAACTATGGTAACTTTTATATGGTAGAATATGTACAAATGTCCATATGTTTGCTACATGGCGAAGCCTGAAATGCTGGAACTTCTGCCGCATATGAGGATATACACATTTACCGTATGAATGAAAAAGTTGATGACCACTAGCGAAATATTTTCGCACATACTTTACCTGCACCTTCTAAACATTCTCTCATTCACACGAACCAACTTACCTTGAAATGAAAACCACAGATTCACCAGAAATGGGTGTTCCAGCGAGGCAAGCAATTCCACTTCTTTGATAACGCCACCCAGAGCACCACGCGACTCACACGCCGACCGACTGACATATTTCATGGCATAGAGTATGCCACTATCACGTTTCTGTACGATGCACACCTGTGCGTTTGAATGGTTGGCCGGTAGATGAATATCAAAGCGAGTTGAAAAGTGGAATGAAAGAGAAAAAGGTTAGTGAAAAAAAACGTTTGCGGTTGTGTGGAAAATGATGATGAAAATACCAGGTGTGTGAGCATTGATAATGCATATAAACACACTTTGCTAAATAACTTATAAAAAACTCAATTGTTAAGGTAATGTATTTAGCATTAAGAGAAACGTGATTGAAATACCTGTAAGAAGCAATTTTCTTGGTATCAAGGTAAACTCTCGCTAAAAATTTGTACATTAATTGCGATCTTGAGTAAATCTTGATCTATTATGTCAAAAATGCATAATGAGTTGCGTTATTAGCTGTTTAATACAAAAATTGTAAAGAATTTAATATCTATAAGTCTGGCTGATCTGTATCTGTATTGGCCTAATCTAATCAGCTCTGATAGGATAACTATTACGACAAAAATAAATTTGTGCCACAGGTTTCAATTTGATATATGTATTCATATAAAGACACTCTCAAAGTTAAATGAAAATGAATTGGCTTCATTTCGATACTTTATTTTGTACCGTCCCGTTTTCGAGAGACTAAGTTTAAAACGTCTGGAAATATATATTACACTTTTAAGCCGCCTCAATAATTTTGTGACAGGTTTCAAGGGTTTTGTCTGATTGAGTTATCTCCAAACATGCGTTCTGAACACATCCACTGCCTATTCAGGCTATCGTGGCAAACTTAATATACTCTGTTCGGGGTATAAAAATCGCTTTGTTTTCATAGCGTATTTCAATAATTTATACTTTTAAAAATAAATCAAAACCGGACATTTTGAATTTGCTGCAGTGTTTTTGATCTGATCAAAAATTGTATTTTGGCAGGCTCAAAACGACCAAATTTTTTCTGCAAAAATACTGCCTATTCTTGAAATATGTATAAATATATCCGACAATCCAAAAATATTTGGTGTCCTTATCAGTCCTTAACTTTTGGAGACTTGCAGCTCAAATTATTGTCAACTATTCTTTAATTACTACTATTCACAGAAATTTGATTACACAAAAATTAATTTTCCTCATTTCTCAATTGTGGTCTGTTTAAAAAATTTGGATAGGTATTTATTTAAATTATTATTATCGCTTTGTTACATAATAAGTTACTTACCTTACCAAAGCTGCCTTTGCCAATAGCCCGCAATATTTGAAAATGGTCAAAATTGACTATACAAGCAAACACCGCCGCCATTCATGTAAAACACAAATAAATAAAGAATGTTTTTTTAGTATTGAGGTTGGAAAATATAACTTAAAGTAATTTTCATATATATTAAATAGATGTGCTAATTAAGTCAGTCAATACACTACTAATATTCGATTGTATTTTAATGAGGTAATGAGGGCAAGTTGGTAGCGTATTGTGGAACTAATTAATATTAAGACGTGACTAAATTTCATAAAATCGAAGTCTTTAATTGTAAGAAGTAAGTTTATTTTCAAGTTATGCCTTTGTTTCTCCTATTACACTAAGAATAGATTTTGTTATATGAGCTGTTGGTATGAAATAATTATAGCGGACAAACTAACTGTACAGACAAAGTAATGGTTTTATGGCACTCATATACATACAAGTATAACTATATTCCTGCGGTTTACCAAGAAATGGCGTAACTTAATTATTACTCAATTGTTTCAATATTCGAAATAGGCGTTGGAAAGCTACTGTCCTTCTGCGTATTTAGGATTAGTGCCAGAAAAGGGTTTTTGCGGGAAGTTCTTCTTCATTCCTTTAATATGAAGAAAAGCGCAGCCGAAAGTCATCGTATTTTGGTTGAAGTGAAATGCTGAGAAAATAAGCCAAAAGAGATAGATAGACATTTAAAAGTTAGAAAATTGGTTACTATATGAATTGAAGCCAAGAGATGTTGGAAGATGATGAGGTGGTAAAATTGGACAGTGGACGTGGCACTGCCGACCTTTTGGTAAGACTATTATTCAACAACTACTTAATTAATTTGAACCAAATTGGGCGAAATCGGACCACAAGCATGCCTACTTTTCATATATCTCAATTTTAAATTCCATATGATTCTTTCACATTGCAGTATAGGTATAAATCGAGAGAAAATGACGTTATCAAAGAAAATGGGCGTGATCTCGGCTTCTAAGGGGTTTAATGCACATATCTCCTAAACCACTTAAAATACATTAACCAAATTCTCTCAGGGCAAATCCTTCTGGCATCCCCACCAGATGATAATCCCACCCACTCCCGATATAACGGTTCTATTAAAAACTACTAGAAGTGCGATAAATCAATTAATAAATACTCCAGAGACATTAAATTTTACATCCGAGATGGTGCGAAAGGGATTTATAGGAGCTGTCAAAATTAGACGATGGGCGTGGCGCCGCCAACATTTAAGTGAAAACCTATATCTCAGGATCTACTCGACCGATATCGATTTTGGTATATAATATTATCTTGACATACCTATATTCCAAGGAAAAGGTAATTCTAGAAATGTTTAAGTTATTTCTCAATGTCTCAAATGTATTGTTCAAAATAATACATTTTCTTCATAAACACATCAGACTTACCATCTTCATCGCTGAGCAGATTTGCATCCGATCTGCTCGACGAATTCGCCCCCATCCTGCATATGTATTAATGTTTATGTATCAAATTTGTGTTGATTTTACTAAGCGTCCTGCGTTTTACGTTCAATTATTATATTTGTTATTTCGAGTTGAATAAAACAATTTGTTAACTAATGCTAACGAAGCAGAATATGCTATGAGTACGTGATTAATGTTTCCGCATTAAATATGAGTACTCATGAGTATATCCGTTTTAGAGAAAACTTAAGCGCATTTATTCCAAACGGCTGCACACTATCAATATGACCATAAACGAAAGCATTATAGTGACGTATGACATAAAGAGCGGGTACATATGGTACAGAGTTTCACACTTGCCAGTGTAAGCTCGTATTTCCAATGTCAGAGCTATGAGCGCTTGTCTTGATTGATGCGTGCGATTAAGCATTGACACTACTTCTGGTGATTGAAATATCTCTATTTTCCTTCACAGTTTATTCCTTTTGCTGTCTCGCGATGCATGTATACTTCATACATACATATGTTAGTATGTTTTATAGTTTGTTTCTATCTGAATACTCAGTTTTCTAATTCAGATTCGATGATTTCCTGCTTGCTATACATTTTCCATGTCCCCTTTCCTGGATGTTCCATAACATATGGCTCAAGTCGCAACTGCAATGAAAGAAAAAAACAGAGATAAAGATGTGAATATAAAGAACATCGTGGTAGCTACGATAATTGAAATGTCTCTGGTGGCACTATTGCGTGAAGGGAGTTTTATATATGCATAGAGGTAGCAATAAGTATATATATGTACATACATTCAAGACCAAATTTGACCCGAAAAATGAATTGATAAACATGTTTGTCTGGCAATACGTTTGCTTATAATTTTTTGTTTTCAATGAAATCACGACTACGGGCATCATGGGAAAATGTTGCAGAAGTGTTTTTTCTAGTTTATCATGAACAGAAGTATTTGAATGGCGCAAAGCATTCGTGAAGTCATCGAAAACTTATGTTATGTCCATTCACCTCTGTTAATAAAGTTAACATCGTAAAACTAATGAAACAGTGCTTGAAAATGGTCGTGTTGGCATTAGAGATATAGCAGAGGATCTCAACATCTCTTAGGGATCGACATAACACGTTTTGTTCAATGTTTTGTATGAAGCGTGTCAATGTTAGATTTGTACTAAAAGACCTGACTGCGCCGTCATATTCTAGGCCAAACACGAAACGAGAGTCATCGCTCAGCCACGGTATTCGATATATTTGGCTTGCTGTGACTTTTTTCTGCTTTCGAAATTAAAAATTTGCTTCGGGAAAGACGCCATGAGTCCATTAGACCAAAATATAAAAATCGCCACGCAAACTATTCGCAGCGTAGTAAGCATAAAAAGGTTGTACCAATCTAGGAAAATAATATTTATCAATTCGGTTCGCTCGTGCATTTTAAATGGACCAGTCTGGGTTACATTTGAAATTAAGGTATGCATTAGGCATTTTCGTTTAAATTCATTTCTGCTTGCTACTGTCACATTTCGTGTTGAAAAAGTTAGATGGGAGTGGAGTAGAATAATTAGAAATAATATTTTTTTTTAAATTAACAAAAGCATATACAAACATATGTGTAAACAGTGAAGTGTCGAATCGAAGACCTTACACAACCTCCAATATGACATACATACCCAATAATATTATTTTAATTCTTGTGGTTGACTTTATACCGTACATATCGGTTAGTAAGTGCGATATTTTTATACAAAAAAATGATAAATATCATGATTTATAAAGGTTCAAAGTTTACCTTTTCCATGATTTGATTTTAAAATTGTGTGATATTGGTTCGTTTCTTCCTCCCGGGAAAGCGGTAGGTTAGAAATTACTTAGTTACATTTTTTTTTAATTACCGTTTTTTGTTGTTCTTGCGAACATTTTTTACGAACTTCAAGAGTTTTTTAAACGAGTCAACAAAGAAATGGGCATTCTATAAGTTCTCTTATGTATATAAATGTAGAGTGAAGATTACTTCTTATATTTCTGCTCGAGCTATAATACCCTTAATGTGAGCATTCCTTATAGCAAATATATACATATGTCACTATAATATAGCAAAAATAGTATTTGGTCATCCTTGCGTCAAAAATTGAACATTCAAGCTTTTATTTATTTGTATTATTAGTATAATATAATCAAAACGTTAACCCTCGTAGAAATGCACAAGAAGAAATACTTGAACTTTACATTTACTTTTTGAACCTTCGACAATTCGAAAGATTCAAATTGAGATAAATGATTTCATTGTCCTTTGGGGGAATTAAGTTAATTGAATCATTGTGGTTGCAATGGAATTGCGTAGACAAAACAAATTTGTGGAATTACAAAATCAACTTACTTGTCGGTTGTACCCGTTATATTTTGTTAGTGCGATTTCAAAATTGTGAAGTGAAATTTTGAGACTTAAGTGTGGTTGTACGGATGATTGTGATGGCTATTTCGTAGCAAGGATGAAATATTTAATCGTTTGTGGACAATTGGATTCGCAGAGGCTTTAAATAACTGCTAGAGCCTCTTTCTCTTATAGTGTCGTGTATTCAACTAAAACCACTTGTGTTATTGTATATAATTTCAGTTTACTATCACGAAAGAAAAGAACGAGCACGGACGAGCTTAGGCGTGTATTTACACAAAAAGTAAATGTTGAAACTGTGATTGAAATTGCTACTAATTAAGTTCTGTATTACAACTTTTGTATATAAATTTACATACAGCAGGCCTCTAAATAATTCCAGGCCCATTCCAATTCCATACAGAACATTCGTTGAGGCACTACTAACAGTAAAAACGCCAGTATTGTAATGTGTGTATGCGAACCTTAAGGGCCATTTTAGTCTAGAAATAAATAAATAATTTTTTTTACATTTCCAAAGCTTTAATATTCAAGAATATGCTAGTTGGCAGCAGCTAGAGGATTTTTCAAAAATTCAAATATTTTTCGGATATATAGATATTTTGCTGATCCGGCATCCAAACTGGTTCGGCCGAAACTGAAACTTTAAACGCGTTTTTCTTGAAACTGTCTTTTTCAAAACGATACCCACGATTTCTCAGGTGTTAGTGGGCCGATCACATGTACATTTCTTGAGATCACCCATTTAATCAGCTGCTGATTTTAGAAATTTTTAATTTTATTTTGATTTTGGATAAATTTCGAATTCCCTGTTTTTATTGACACTTAAAAAATTACCTGGAGCTTATGACTCTAAACTAGAATACCCCCTTAATGTAAACACATATTTGAGATTGTTTCATGTGAGATATTAGTTTATTTGCTATTTTAGTAAAGCTGTGTCCCAGTATCATTCAGTATATTTGGCAGTTTTAAGAATTGAACTTAAGCACTTTCGCACCCCTGCAATCGATGGTAACTTGATTACCGTTTTTCAACCATTGTCGCGTCCAGACTTGAACATTGCACTTCCTTAAATTCTCATCTTTATCAGTGAGATCCACATTATACTTGTAAAGAATACCAGACACTACTTGCTTGCTAGCTGAGTCCACATTTGAAATCCTATCCAAAAACGAAGAAGAAACGTTCATTTGTTTATAAGTATCAAAAAATATAAGTATATATATGTTTTTCATTCAAAAACAAACAAGTAAGTAAGTGAGTAAGTAAGTTAAAAAGTCTTAATTTATGACAAGCTAGAAAATTGTATTTACTTTTAAAGTATTTTCGCTTCTTATATCGAGGACACTTACTTATAACTTGTACCATCTCCTGTACTCAATTTGCTTAAAGCTGTCTCAAGAATACCTACAGCATCTTTCAATTCGTCACCACTGAGCGCAGTAGTTCCACCATAAGCTGACGACTGAATTAATTGACAATTCGAAAACATTATTATGAGGATATAAATAATAATAATAATAATTAATTTGTATTATTTTTTTCTCAAATACAACTGCTATACAATTTTACCTCATTTGGTAGTGAAAAGAATGCGCATACAGCACAAATAGTTAAAAGAACAAACTTCGAATTCACCATTTCTAATTACTTTCGTAAATACTTGTACACGTCGTTTTTTAGCGAAGAAAATAACACAAATGTGGTTTACTCGAAGCATGGCTTGGTATTTTATAAGAAAGCTGGTACTTAAAGTTGTATAACTCATGAAATTACAAACTGATATACTGTGATCAGTACACAAAAGCTGCACAACTTGAAATATTAAAATGTATAATTGTAGGTAAAGAAGATATGGTGATGAAGGTACTATTAGTGTAAGTTGTGAATCCTATTGAATAATATGTATTGCGGATATTATTGATTTCATTTTTTGACTAAGAAAATAATGGATAGATTTGAATAAATATAATTTTTTGTTCGATTTGAGATAGTTTTGCTAGTTCTTGTTCCTCGATTGTAGCCAATATTTGGTGCACAAATTGAAACCGTTTAACAAAAGAATTTTATAATAATAGCATATTAGGCCAATATAATTTCATTGAGTAATCTAAGTAGTCTTTTTTGTTATTATTTTAAGGCAAATGTCTTTTTAAGCTATGCATTAGCTTAATCGGAAAATATACATATCATTTTGCAGTGAATTTGCTACAAAACTGAGTTTTCCGATTTATAATTTTTTTAATTGAGTTACGAAATTCATAAGCAAAAAAACTGCCTAAAAATTATCAAACTCTAACCTTTAATATCTTATAAACGATTAGGTTAGGAGGTGTCTAAGTACTTCTTTTTCAGTACCAAGCGAAAAAAGTATTCGTCTTGTTGACCCCCCCTAATATATACAAATATTTATGCGCTAAAATAATTTTTCGACTAAATGTATATGTGTTGGAATTATGTATGCTTTAGTAAATTTTAGTTAATATAAATATATATGTATATACAAGTATATATATATATATATATGTGACTATGTGGTTGCATAATAAGTCAACTTAAGTTATTGTGGACGAAGATGTGTGGTTAGCAATAAGATTATGTATGAAAGTTTGTGGTATATTAACTTTGTACAAGTATGTTTGCTTTAGTTCGTAAATGACAATTGAAGAATTTGTTTCCGTAAATAACAACATTGCCGCCTGACGGTTTTCAGGAAATACTTGCGTAATAACATACATATTCAAATGTTAATATGATATATTATATATATATACTATATATATATATTCGTTATTTACAAAGTTGTCTTTTTTTTTGCTGCCAACCACTGAAGTTTCAGTTTTTGTTCTAAAAAAAAATTATTCAACGTAAACAAGCTCAATTTAAACCGTGCTAAAAGCAATTTATTTCTCCTATTCATATTTTGTGTGTTTTTGATAACTTGTATACAATTTTATGGTCTCCAAAACGATAAACCTACAACTTGAAAAAATAATAATCGATGTAATATAAAATTTTGCGCTCCACAAAAAAATTTTTCCATAAAAAAACTTTTCTTTAAAATTTTTATGTATTGTATTGTTGTGAGAAGCGCTTTACCATTTAATTTTTCTCTATTCTTCTTTGGTTTGTTGTCGGCGTGCTTTGAGTGAAATTTGAGTTTGAAATTTGAAATATACGAGTATAATTAAAATGCCTTGTAACCAAATGAGTTTACGGATACGCACAGTTCCATTTGTATAAATGTTTCACTATTTAAAAAAAAAAAAACAAATATGAAAATTTTAGTATACTTTTGAAGCATATACACGCATACATAATAATAAATATTTATGAATGGATAGCAAGATAATATGTTTAGACATTTCATTGCTCATCAGGGTTCGGAATTTCCATCAGGGAAACTTAAAAGCATTTTTCATATCGGTGAACGTTTTCATTTATACATATTATATAATATTATATTATTATGTTTGTATGTGATATGAATAGAGTGAACGTGAAAAGTTGTGCCAGTAGCTGACGCATCTCAAATATTTGACTTGCGCCTGACATAAATTCACGAACTCAGTTTTGCTGTGTTTTTAGACGTCATTCTTTTTTAAAACTTAGCACAAGTGTGTTTGGGTTGTCGACGGTAAGTGTTTTCGAACCCAAAGTATATTGTATATGTTTTTGATAAATTGTGTTTATTTAGGTATGTATACAATACTTTTAATGAATATTTAACAAACTTACAAATAAGGGGTTTATTTTATATTTCCTACTATTACTTCCTTCTTCAGTTCGCTTTCAGCAAGCTTAAGGAAATTATGCAATATATTAGAAAATCTTATAATTTTCTTTAATGTGTAATATTTTTGTAACTTTTAACTTCAATAGAATACAATTTTCATCCCTCCGTCCTATCAAACTTTTCCTTAAGATAGCTTTTTGCAAACCAACCATTTAATTGCCGGCACATACTTATGCTTATATTGTAGCCTTAATGGGCTGTATTTACTTCAACATCAGAATCAATCAAAATGTCACTACTTTAGTATCCCTAAAGTCAGCGAATACAACAGATAACTGCTTATTGCCCTAGGGCATCAAACTTTTGTTTTTTTTGTCTATTTACTAGAATATAGAGCATACAATGTTTATGGCTTAGAGTGCATATATATTTACATACAAGTATGTTAAAACGCGCAGGCTTTTCTATTATTTTTGGTCATAGCAAATGCAGGCCTAAAGTCAATGTCTTTCTGAATGATGTAATGAATTACTGTTGCATTTGTTATTGTAGTAGCATAAAACATAAAATAGAAAGTTATTCCTTCGTATAAAAGTAATTATAATCGGCCCACGGACTTCCATACATTATAACCAAATAGAAAATTCTAAAAGGAAATAGGTTTTATTGCCATACGATTTACATATTTTCCTCAAGTCTTCAGTCTCAAGAGGAATTTATATGCTTCGGGTTTGAAAAGCAACTCACCATTGATTGCTGGTAAATCTGGTGTTTTATGTTATTTACTTAAGTAAAACTTTATAAATTTAGTACGCAACTATTGAAAAATTAACTCCCCTGGAACCGCTTTATTCCGCATTTATATTCCATGGTTTAAAAATAATTGTATAAATTATCACTAGTGAGAATATATAGACTAGAGAACTAATGGTTTTACATTCCAAACGGCGGATTGTGGATTTTAAATTCTCCAAGAGTATATACATATATTACCTACCGATAGTAGATATGTGTATACCTACCAAATAATTATAACTATTCTAACCCTATTTAAATGATAGCAAATAAATTCCAGCCGTTGTGTTTTTTGATCGATATGAAGAGCATTAAAGCCTCTTATATTTTTTCTAGCAAACTTTTGGTTTTATTGTTGCACTAACCGCAAACATACAATGTTGCTGTTGGCAACAAATGCACAAAAACAAATTGCAAGGACGGAATTGTAACTTTTATAGCAATTAGCACTGGAGATAAGGGGAAAACTGAAAAGTTTTTTAATTCCATTTTCAACCAAGTACTATTTCCTCTTATATGACTGCCACTTATATACGTTACGCGAAAATATTTTCACTTATCTCTTAGATTTCTAAATTTGTTATATGCCCACAAAGTTTACAATATTTGCGGTTTACCTAAAATTCTTTCAGCAACGTCGATACAAAATATTTGACATACACTTAAAGTTGACTGTATGTGGACTTTTGGTTGTTTTATTTACTCGTGCGCATTCACCCTAATCTCAAATAATTCATTGTGGTGAAATATTATATAATACAATATATTATATATTGGCGTACAAATAGGTGGTTTCTAAGAATTTGAAAAAGTTGCAAACACATACATACAGATCTGTTCTATAACATGTATGTACGAGTATATATAATACATATATACAAGCATATCAAAATCCATGGCATTTACGATAATAAGTGAATTTACACACAAGACAATTTAGAGTGGTGGTGGTAATAATTACGCTTTGGATGGTTAATATTATAAAAGCCTAAAATATGAGAAGATATAATTTCTGCATAACTACTTTTTAGTTCTGAGTTTTTAGATGGATGGATGCAAAAAAAAATTAAGGACTGTACAAATAATATATATGTATATGTACGTATGTATGATAACTAGCTATATGCAAGCGCATCATAATTAACTTTTGTTGCGAAAATCCTCATTCACCTGTCCCTAAGTACACTTCTATTTATATATTATAAATACATATATTCTCATTTATATAGATACGTTTACGTACAATGGTTGCAAATGGATTTATTTAATGAATGCAAGGTGTTAAATAGAAACGTACGAGACTCGTTGACGCGACGTATAGGCGTTGGCAGTAAAAGTAACAAAAGAACTTAGTAGCAGTTAGAACTGCTTTACTTGCCTAGCAATACATATTTATTCTCAATACATATAATTTCTCAAGGGGATGTTTGTGTTTTAAAAAAACTATAAGATGATATGATTAAGGTATTTATTCTGATTGTGACCGAGAATAAGTCTCATAAAATTTGAAGTAGATAAAATAATTTAAAAATTAAAATTCGAATAATTGAAATATATCCGGCAAATAATGGTACTAACAGAGTTGTATAAATATCGGTTCAACACCTAAAAATATAGCATAAAACAATAGGCTGAAAAGTCCCGATTTGTTTTGTTCAAAATTGGCTTTATTCATCAGTATAATCTCCATCAAGAGCAGCACAATCATTCCAGCGCCGCTCTAATATTCAATACCACTTTTGTATAACGATGTGTCTCCTACCTCAGAATAGGCCTCAGTTTCAGTGATAACCTATTCATTCGAGCGAAATTTGATACCGCCGAGCATCTATTTGAGGTCTGCGAACAACCAATAGGCACTGGTAGCCAAAATGCGCTTCGAACAAAGAGCCAACATTAAATTTTGTTTTAAAATTGGTAAAACTTTTACCGAAACATTTCAATTGATGAAACAAGTTTATGGCGATGATTGCTTATCCCGTCGCAGAGTGCACGAGTGGTTTCAATGTTTTCAAAGTGGTCGTAAGGACATAAATGAGAAATGAGCCGAAACCCAAAAAATCGCGCCTGAAGAAGTCAAAAGTGAAGACAATGCTGATTTGTTTTTATGATTTCAAGGGTGTTGTCCACAAAGAATTTGTTCTACCCGGCCAAAACGTTAATGCGGTATTCTAC